TCCAAATGTACCGATTGTTATATCCAACAATACCGATTGTTAGATCCAACTGTACCGATATTTAGATCCAACAATACCGATTGTTAGATCCAACTGTACCGATTGTTAGATCCAACAATACCGATTGTTAGACCCAACAATACCGATTGTAAGATCCAACTGTACCGATTGTTAGATCCAACTGCACCGATTGTTAGATCCAACTGTACCGATTGTTAGATCCAACTATACAGATTGTTAGATCCAACAATACCGATATTTAGATCCAACAATACCGATTGTTAGATCCAACTGTACCGATTGTTAGATCCAACTATACAGATTGTTAGATCCAACAATACCGATATTTAGATCCAACAATACCGATTGTTAGATCCAACTGTACCGATTGTTAGATCCAACTGTACCGATTGTTGGATCCAACTGTACCGATTGTTAGATCCAACTGTACCGATTGTTAGATCCAACTGTACCGATTTTTAGATCCAACTGTACCGATTTTTAGATCCAACAATACCGATTGTTAGATCCAAAAATACCGATTTTTAGATCCAACTGTACCGATTGTTAGATCCAAAAATACCGATTGTTAGATCCAACTGTACCGATTGTTAGATCCAACTATACAGATTGTTAGATCCAACAATACCGATATTTAGATCCAACAATACCGATTGTTAAATCCAACTGTACCGATTGTTAGATTCAACAATACCGATTGTTAGACCCAACAATACCGAATGTTAGATCCAACTATACCGATTGTTAGATCCAACTGTACCGATTTTTAGATCCAACTGTACCGATTGTTAGATCCAAAAATACCGATTGTTAGATCCAACTGTACCGATTGTTAGATCCAACTATACAGATTGTTAGATCCAACAATACCGATATTTAGATCCAACAATACCGATTGTTAAATCCAACTGTACCGATTGTTAGATCCAACAATACCGATTGTTAGACCCAACAATACCGAATGTTAGATCCAACTGTAACGATTGTTAGATCCAACTGTACCGATTTTTAGATCCAACAATACCGATTGTTAGATCCAACTGTACCGATTGTTAGATCCAACTGTACCGATTGTTAGATCCAACTGTACCGATTGTTAGATCCAACTGTACCGATTGTTAGATCCAACTGTACCGATTGTTAGATCCAACTGTACCGATTTTTAGATCCAACAATACCGATTGTTAGATCCAAAAATACCGATTTTTAGATCCAACTGTACCGATTGTTAGATCCAAAAATACCGATTGTTAGATCCAACTGTACCGATTGTTAGATCCAACTATACAGATTGTTAGATCCAACAATACCGATATTTAGATCCAACAATACCGATTGTTAAATCCAACTGTACCGATTGTTAGATCCAACAATACCGATTGTTAGACCCAACAATACCGAATGTTAGATCCAACTGTACCGATTGTTAGATCCAACTGTACCGATTTTTAGATCCAACAATACCGATTGTTAGATCCAACTGTACCGATTCTTAGATCCACTGTACCGATTCTTAGATCCAACTGTATCGATTGTTAGATCCAACTGTACCGATTGTTAGATCCAACTGTACCGATTGTTAGATCCAACTGTACCGATTGTTAGATCCAACTGTACCGATTTTTAGATCCAACAATACCGATTGTTAGATCCAAAAATACCGATTTTTAGATCCAACTGTACCGATTGTTAGATCCAAAAACACCGGTTGTTAGATCCAACTGTACCGATTGTTAGATCCAATAATGCCGATTGTTAGATCCAACCGTACCAATGATAGATCCAATTTTCTGGTTGATAGATACAGCTATATCGATTGTTAGATCCAAATGTATCAAATGGTAGATACAACTGTGCAGATTGGTAGATCCAGCTATACCGATTGGAAAATCCATATGTAAAGATTGGAAGATATATTCAAATGATTAATAAACCATTATTAAATCAATCTATATCCAGGAAACATAGACCCGGGTAGAAGTCGAGTAATCTATTTAGGTTTTACTAGTCAACTAGCGAGAATAAGATTTTCCTGCGTAGTCGGGTGCAGTAGGACAAATATCCTCGGTAACTTTCCAAATGCTACCATAGAGAGAAATAACTAATTCTTGTGCAAACAGAGCAAGATATTAATCTCAATGTAAAGAGAGGGGAGAAAAACAATCAAATAAAAGATTATAATCAAAGAGGAGGAGATATCTTTAAATCGGGCGCGGATTTCCAACTAATCGTTCCCAGTTAGAAGTAAACCTAAAAGATATAAATAGATAAATATGGGAATGGTTAGATTGAAGAATGGATAACCAAACATTAATATCTTCTTGAGTATAATTGGCAATATGGCCCTCCCAGTGGGATACAAGTAGATAATTGTTGAAGGGTTTGTTGCCTCCCAGAGCAGCCGTTTGGGGCACGCGACGGCACGAGCGGAGACTGGCACCGACGTCTCGCCAGCTGCTCCTGCAATCTCAGCCCCAATTACCATTGACTCTTCATCCTATAGCGGAGATTAAGGTATCAAAATGTTTTAACACCAAGACTAAATCCCTGTCAAAATAATTGATTTGATTGATAGAAACGACCTTCGTGCTATTGTCTGAGTAAATTACATTGGGATAATATAGACGATAATTACAGGGAATATTCCAAAAGAAACATTCTGTTATTTTGGTTTTAATATAGAATGGCGAACATTTGCTCCTTTTTAGTAAACTTAATCCCATGAATGACTTATACCTTTGACCGTAACATCCTCCTAGGCTTTGTTATTCTCAGGTTTGTAATAGTCCAGACTTTCTATAAGTTACGAAGGTGTGTTCAAAAGGTATCGCGACTTTTGAATTTTCGCGGGTTACGTATATTCGAATTTCGATCTTTTTGTGGCTTTATGTTGGTACTCATGTCTCTCACTTATGCCGACAAGCTCGGTCATTTTGAATGTTCACTTAATTGTTGACAGCTGCTTTGCTTGCAGGTGTTTTGGATCGTCTTCGATTTTTACCTATTAAAAAATGGATCAAAGAACCTGTATCAAATTTTGTGTGAAAAACGAAATTAAGTGCGCTGATGCATTCCGAATGTTGACTGTGGCATACGGAGAAGCTACCTTGGACCGAAGCAACGTTTATCGGTGGTACAAAATGTTCTCAGAAGGCCGAGAAGATGTGAACGACGAAGAGCGTGCCGGACGCCCGAGCACTTCAACAACAGACGAAAAAATTAATGAAGTGGAGAAAATGATATTGGCCAATCGTCGAATCACCGTTAGAGAAGTTGCTGAGGACCTAAACATATCGATTGGCTCGTGCCATTCGATTTTTATCAATGATTTGGGCATGAGACGGGTCGCTGCGTAATTCGTACCAAAATTGCTCAATTGCGACCAAAAACAGCATCGCATGAACATTGCTAATGAGATGTTGGACTCTGTCCGCGACGACCCAAATTTGCTCCAGAGGGTCATAACTGGTGACGAAGCGTGGGTTTATGGTTATGACGTGAACACCAAAGCTCAATCATCTCAATGGAAGCTGCCGCACGAACCAAGACCGAAAAAAGCGCGCCAAGTTCGGTCGAATGTGAAAGTTTTGCTGACAGTTTTCTTCGATTGCAGGGGCGTGGTGCATCATGAGTTCTTGTCACAGGGTAGAACGGTCGATAAGGAATATTACCTGCAAGTTATGCGCAATTTGCGCGAAGCAATCCGCCAGAAACGCCCGGATTTGTGGAAGAACAAAAATTGGCTTTTGCACCACGATAAAGCCCCTGCTCACACATCGTTGCTTGTGCGCGACTTTTTGGCCAAAAACAACACACTAATGATGCCGCAGCCACCGTATTCCCCAGATCTGGCCCCCTGTGACTTTTTCTTGTTCCCTAAACTGGAGAGGCCCATGAAAGGACGACGTTACGCTACGCTTGACGAGATAAAGACGGCATCGAAGGAGGAGCTGAAAAAGATTTTAAAAACTGATTTTTTGAAGTGCTTCGAAGATTGGAAAACCCGTTGGCACAAGTGTATAATATCTCATGGGGATTACTTTGAAGGGGACAAAATAGGTATTCATGAATAAATAAATAATTTTTGAAAAAACACAAAAGTCGTGATACTTTTTGGACACACCTCGTATATACAGGGTGATCCAAAAGTCCCGCACAACTTTAAAAATTAATAACTCCGCGAATATTTGCGCTAGAGCAATGCGTTAAACGCCATTGTGTTCAGGATGCAATGGGATTTTTTATGGCAAATAATGAAAAATTCGAAATTGATTTTAGTTACAACTTTATTCGCTAGATGGCGCCCTACCAGAATCAGCGATTCAGCGGCCAAATTGTTTGATAAATTGAAAAATATAACTGAACGACACGCATTTTTACTTTTTGAATACCAGGAAAGAACCCTAATAATATCAAATGATAAATTAATAAAACACCATTTCGCCAAAAGTTAGAAGAAATGGTTAACGATTTTTAAATACAATATGAGATATGTAAAATAGGTATATGCAAATTAAAACATGTAGCAAAAAAAAAAAACCTGATATTTTAGATGCGGTTTGCTGGAATCCTTTCAGCTATTTATATTTCGAAAATAATAATTTTCTATTTTTTTAAATTCAACTCTCTCTCAGTATCGATTATATTTATTTTAATTTTAATTTGAAAAATATTTATCTATCTCCGATGATTTCTTTTACTCTGGAATGCCGTTGTTGTTTTTGTCGTGTCCAATAAAGAGCCTCAGATTCTTTTCGTTTGGCCAACAAAAATGTCCAATTTATATACACACTAGACGAATGGCCCGGGCAACGCCCGGGTTTTACCCGAGTGCGTATATATTTTAAAAATGTTTTAATTAAAATATTATTCGTTACAATTATAAATTGGCGCCGTGGATCTCTCTTTTGTGAAACGTCCCGCCCCAAACTGTGTGTGTCTTGAAAATATAAAAATAAAAATGTGAACGGAAAAATATGTCCAGGGTAGCCTAGTGGTCATGGCATCTGCCCGGTAAGCGGAAGGTCGTGGGTTCGATTCCCATCCCTTGAATTTTTTTTATTTTATCCATTCTGATTAAACTCTATCCGTGAACTTCACACAGTGAACTTCACACAGACAGAATAAGGCAATTATATAAGTAGATAATCCAAATTGTGCCTTATCACACACTATTTTTTTATTTTGCCTTATTACCTTGTGTTTATAATCTATGACGTAATGCCGGCGGCGCGCGCCCGTTGGCTGCCGGCGAGCACGTGACCTCCCTGTGCGCGCGCATCCGTGACATAACCGGCCCATGACGGTCGTGACTATATATGTTAATAATAATATAATAATAATAATTATTATTATTATTATTATCATTAGATAATGATAATGATCATAATGATGATGCGCGCGCATCCGTGACAGAACCGGCCGGCCGGCCAGCCCGCCCATGACGGTCGTGACTATATATAGGGATATATTCTTACATAATGAGACTTTAAAGAATACAAATAATCTTCATCTATTTACATACACAATACATATCCCCCTTAATAATACTCCAGTCGGTCTGGGGGTTTCCTGGCTCTCTGAGGTCTAGGACTGCGGACGGGCACTTGCACAGCGGCAACCTCCGGTTTAGGAGTGCAAGAGGGCACGTGCACAGCAACAGGCCCTGGTATAGGAGTGCAAGAGGGTACGTGCACAGAAGCAGTCTCCTCCTTGTTTCCTGATGTAACCTCTGGAACCTCCTCTTCACTTTATTTCTGACTTCTACCTACAGGCTTCTCTCCTGATGTTCGAGGAAGTATCAAATTTCTTGTCTCCACTTGTTTCTTTCTCACAGGTCGCAATTGATTGATATGCCTCTTATACACGACGTCCTCGCAACTTATAAGGTAGTGACGGTATCTCAATAATTCCAAAATGGTACTTTTTTACCGTTTAGGTCCAGTTGCATAGTTGCGGAAATAAACCTCGCAACCTGTAGTAAACTGCTCCTGCCTTCTTACGGCCTCATGAAATACCTCTCGCGGATTTCTCATCTTGGTATTAAATTCGAGAATATTGATCTTAAACTTCTCTTCATTAGCAGTTCCGCGGGGGATTTCCTTTATTACAGTTTGGGGGAATGCTCTATGAGCAAATAGGAAACTTTGTAGATTCGTCTCAAAATCATCATTCCCATTATTCTTTCTCAAAAGGTTTTTAAACTCTCTTACATATCTCTCAGCTAAACCATTTGTACTAGGATTATACGGACGGTCTGTGCGCCGTATACCATTCATTTTGGTAAATGGCTCGAATTCATCGGAGACAAACTGTCTTCCGTTATCTGTAACAAAAAATTACGGCAATCCAATTCTGGCGAGAATTTCTCTAAGATGACTTATAATCGTTTTTCTGGTAATATCTTTGATGATAAAAATTTCTATCCACTTTGAGTATGCGTCCACGAGAACCAAAAACATTCTTCCCATGAACGGACCCGCTAGATCAAGATGAAGTCGATGCCACGGTTTTTCGGGCCAAGTCCATTCCGAGATGGTAGCCGGGGGCATGCTTGCCGATTCTTGGCATACTCTACATTCTCTAGTTAACTCCTCGATGTTACTGTCTATGCCTGGCCACCAGGAAATATCGTCTGGCAATCATCTTCATTTTAACAATCCCCATGTGTATTTCATGCAAGTCATTTAAAATTAAAGATCTTAATTTTTGGGGAATTACCACTCTTTCACGCCATTGAAGACAACCAAACTCCAAAATTAATTCCTCATTGATCTTATAATGAGGAGCTAGTGGGTTTTCTCTCGGTACCCTTGTGAATTTCCACACACACAGTTGCCTTCTCTAACATTCCTTAATACTATAGACAGTATTTTATCTTGGGGCGTCTCATTAGCCACTTCCATAAAAGAGAACGGTACCTCATTCGACTTCCTAAGAAGAAGTACCTGGTCTTCATCAAGAGACTCCCTGACACTCGATTCTAAAGGAAGACGTGACAATGCGTCAACATTGGAATTATCGCTAGTTTTTCGAAATTCCACAGTATAATTAAATGCAGCTAATTTTAAGGACCATCTTTTAATTCTGGATGCTGCACATATGGGAATTGGTGTATGAGGTGAAAATATATGAATTAAGGGTCGGTTGTCTGTGACCAATACAAATTTTCGTCCCAGTAAGTATTGTCTGAATTTCTCAACGCCAAAAGTTATGCTCAACGCTTTCTTTTCTAGTTGAGAGAAACGTTTTTCCGCTTCAGTTAATGTTCTAGAAGCAAAAGCTATAGGGCATTCTTCCTTTCTATCATTTCTTTGACTCAGAATTACGCCTAGTCCATAGTCCATTAATAATGATTTACATTTTTAAAATAACATTCGATATTTTTTCGTCCAATTCCATCTACAATTTTTATTCAAAAGTTGATAGAATAGCGCTAAAATGTTTGCTATATTTTTTATGAATCTATAATAATAAATTAAGAGTCCTATGAAAGATCTCAATTGCGAAACATTCTTTAGGTTCAGGCGCCTCTATTACTGCTTTAATTTTATTTTCTAAGGGATGCAGTCCATATTTATCCATTCTAAACCCTAAATATTCCACCGATTTCTTTTTAAATTTACATTTATATCTGTTTAAATTTAAATCTTTTTTTTAGCAATCATCTAAACACTAGATCCAACTTTTGTTCATGATCTTCAAAGTCTTTTCCTGCAACCAAAATAGCATCTATGTAGCAGGCCACACCTGGCAAATCAGAAAATAGGCCTTCCATAATCCTCTGAAATTTATTTGGTGCTACCGCTACGTCATATGGTTTTATTTATTTATGCTTATGAGGTGATACAGCAACATCTTTACAATTAGAGAGGAGACAAAATGAACCAAATCTAGAAAAAAGAAGTGAGGACATATCGGTCATTAAAGTCTGAGAGGCAAGGCCTTCAGCCAGTTCAGGGCTTCCGGGGTGACAGAGTGGAGATTGGAGATTCCTCCATTGAATTTGTACAGCGGGCAGTCGTCTAGTATATGGGACATTGATTGTGGGACGTTGCAGGCACAATTTGGATCTTTGGTGTAGCCCCATAACTTCATCAGCTCTGCACACCTTCCCTGTCCTGTCCTTAAGGCTTCTTCCGCTAACATTACTTGTAAGTAAGCCTGTGATAGGTCTAGAGTCGAAAGTACGGTGCTTGTAGATAATTTTGAAAAGATCTCATCGATCGATGGAATGGGATACCTATCTAATTCTATTGCTTTATTAGCTGTACATCTAAAATCACCACATATCCTTACACTACCATCCTTTTTTGATGCCGGTACTATTGGAGCGGTCCAATATGCATGAACTCTAAGTTATAAAATGCAAGAATTCACTAAACGATCAATTTTATTCTCTACTTTGTTTTTTAGAGAGAAAGGTAAACTTCTGGCCTTACAAAACACAGGAGTCACATCCTTTTTTAAATTAAAATTTATTCTAACGTCCTTTAGACAGCCCAAATCTTTGTTAAACAAATCTGCATACCTATCCATCAAATTTTTATATATTTAAATATATTTCTATTATATTCATTATTTAAAATTTTAATGCTAAACAATATAGAATAATCAAGTTTCAACTGTTTAAGCCGTTCTCTTCCTAATAAAATACCTGGATTTTTTCATTTACAACTATTAATCGTAAATATTGGTTGGCTTCTTTTACAAAAACATTTATTTGATCTATAATCTCTATTGATTTACCACAAAAGGATTTTTATCTTAAATTTGTTGGAAATAATCTTTTACCTTGCCAATAATTCTTATAAATATCATTAGGTATTAACGTAACTGGACTTCCTGTATCTATTGTAAAGCACAAAGAATAATCATCTACTGTTAAATTTATTGTGGAATCAGTTTCGCCCTGTACAGAATATATAGAGTCCTCTTGTACAAATTTACATCCCCACATTCTTTTACTAGCTTTGCAGACCCTACTTAAATGACCCAGTTTATTACATTTTAAAACAAGTCTTTGTTCTATGAGGTAAAACAGATGCCACGTGTGGATGTATTTCACCACATCTATAACACACTATTTTGCCTTTGCCACTTTGCCTGAAAGGCCTATACTGCGCCGTACTATTATTGTACTCACCCTTTTTATCCTTTCAATTCACAGGGGATATCTTGGCCAATAATTTATCTTGTAATTCTCTTGTATTTATCTCCGCCAATTCGAACGAGATCGCCACTGCAAAAACTTTATCCAGGGTGACATCGTCGTCCTCTTGTAGTAGCTTCTTTTGCAGGATTTTCGACTTGATTCCAGCCACAAAACGGTCTCGCATCATGGTTCCCAACATATCGACGAAATTACAATTTATTGCCAAATGTTTCAATTCTCTAAGATATTCCGAAATTGATTCTCCTTCCTGTTGAATTCTCTTTAAAAATCTGCATCGCTGTGGTATCACTTTCTTCTTTGGATCCAAATGCAGCTTAATTCTTTGAATGATAGTATCATAGGATTGATCTTTCATTAGACCAGGAAGAAAATGTCGTTTCCCTGCTTCAAAGTTTCAGAATCTGGTAGCGAGGTAAAAATCAGCACTTTAACCTCCTCCTTCAGATGCCAAAAAGAAAGCCTCAAATTTTTGTACAAAAAGATCGAAGTGTCCTCCACTGGGCTATAGCATCTAAAAGGTACTATTAACTTTGAACTTGTCATGCTGATCTTTTCTACTCCTTTGTTTTCTTGATCCAGATAGTTTAAAAGATGTAATCTTAACCCATTTTCCTATTTTTCCTCTCCATAATCCGAGAGTCAGATTTGTTTAAAAGATGTAGTTGTTATACTTGCATAGACGCCGTTTTCCTCAGCATTTTACTGGCTCTGTAGATCGCGCATCCTCGTCGCCACTTTTGTTGTGTCGTAATTAGACGTACAAGAGCTCAAACCTGACCATGGCCAACAATAAATGTCCAATTTATATATACATATATTTTTACATAATGAGGCTTTAAATAATACAAATAATATTCATCTATTTACATAAACAACGG